TAGCCTCAGCAACTAAACAAGGTGCTAAGCAACTCAGTGAGACCCTGTCTCTAAATAAAATACAAAATAGAGCTGGGGATGTGGCTCAGTGGTCAATTTGCCTGAGTTCTATCCCCAATATCAAAAAATAAATAAAAAATTTTAAAAAAAATTCAGCTCCTCTATGGGGCTGAGGTTGTGACTCAGCGGTACAGCAACTCGCCTAGCACATGTGAGGCGCTGGGTTCAATCCTCAGCACCACATAAAAATAAAAATAAGGGTATTGTGTCCAACTACAACTAAAAAAACAATTTAAAAAATTTCAGCTCCTCTAAGAAGCCCTTCCTTAACATCCTACTGTTGCCTGCAAATGACTTTATTGTACCCTTCTGTATATGTGTGTGTGTGTGTGTGTGTGTGTGTATATATATTATTTATTTATTTTACAGAACTATGTACATCTTTTTACCTGAATTTCGCTCTACTATCTTTTTTAGAGGGTTAACTGGGGATTGAACCAAGACCTTACACATGCTAGACAAGTAGTCTACCATTGAGCTACATCCCTAGCTCTTTTTTGTATTTTATTTAGAGAAAGGGTCCCACTGAGTTGCTTAGCACCTCGCTTTTTGCTGAGGCTAACTTTGAACTCACAATCCTCCTGCCTCAGGCTTCCGAGTCACTGGGATTACAGGCATGTGCCACTGTGCCAAGCCCCTTTTTATTTTTTTGAGACAGGGTTTCACTAAGTTGCTGAGGTTGATCTTAGGACCCTCCTGCCTCAGCATCCCACGATGTTTAGATGACAGGAATGTGCCACAGTGTCAGTACCCTCTACTCCCTTGTGTACATTATCTGAGGAAATAGTGGTGGGGGTCTTAATTAAAGCCTGACATCTGAAATGTTCTGTAAGCAATTTATCAGCACAGAGAGGCAAAGTTATACCTCAGCAACAAATCCCAAAATCTCAGTAACTTAACACAGCAAAGTAATTGTATTCATCAGGGATCCATTGAGGGTGTATTTTATTTTTTTTAATTTTTTAGTTGTAGTAGAACACAATACCTTTATTTTATTTATTTTTACGTGGTGCTGAGGATTGAACCAAGAGCCTTGCACGTGCTAGGTGAGCACTCTACCGCTGAGCCACAACCCCAGTCCCCCCATTGAGGGTTCTTTTCTGTGGCATCTCCACTCCAGGACCTACCCTAATGGAGCAGTTCCAGATGGAACAATTCCAGTCACTGAGGCAAAGGAAGACGGCCTTGCAGGTTTGGGAATCAGCTCTTAAAATGTTTTAACCTAGAATTGATATAGTCACTTCCACTCACAATTCACTGTCAGGAATTAATTACATGGCCCCATCCAACCAGAAAGGGGTCAAAAAGTACAATCTACCTAGTGCTTAGAATGTATAGGAGACGTATTTAAATACCAAAGACTACCACTAAGGATTGTTGTTGATAATCATGCAGCTCACTCTCTCCTCCTGCAGGTGGCATATACTCACTACCCTTCCCCCAAAGAAAACAATCCAAGACGGGTTAAATAATTGGCTATAATAATATTAGATTCAAATATAACAATCTCTGGGTGATGCACAAAAGTTTCTCCACCAGTTTCAGATGAGGCTTGAGGTAGAGATCTATAACTAAAAAGACAAGCTATGTGCCCCCCATATTTAATTGCACAGTAATGGAATAATGACAGACTAAAGCAGTAAAGGAGGAAGAGGAAGAATGGGAGGCACCACAATGTAGTGATGATGATATCCCACTAGGCAGATGTGGCAGGACCTCTTGCCCTGGGGGAAGGGGATAGCCTTGCTTAGGCTCCAATTTCACCTCTTAGGAGGGGATTCTTAGGTAGCCTCAGCAACTAAACCAGGTTCTAAGCAACTCAGTGAGACCCTGTCTCTAAATAAAATACAAAATAGAGCTGTTTATATTTTTCTGTTTTAAGCCATTGAGACTTTAGTGTTCTTGCTACAGCATAACCTAACCTAATGTGTCCTTGACTGACTCAGAAACTGGAATCTAGAGAGGGGTATTGATATTTAAAAAATAAAACAGGCGTGGTGGCACATGCCTGTATACTAGGTACTCAAGAGGTTGAAACAGAACCACCACAAATTCGGGGCAGCCTCAGGAACTTGATGAAACTCTATCTCATAATTAAAAAGGAGCCAAGCATGGTGGTGTATTTTGTAATCCCAGTGGCTCCAGAGGCTGAGGCAGGAAGATCACAAGTTCAAAGCCAGCCTCAGCAAAAGCTAGGAGCTAAGCAACTCAATGAGATCCTGTCTCTAAATAAAATACAAAATAGGGCTGGGGATGTGGCTCAGTGGTTGAATGCCCCTGAGTTCAATCCCTGGTACCCTCAAAATTAAAAAGGGCTAGGGGACAGAGCTCAGTGGTAGACAGCTTGCCTAGCATGCATGAGGCCCTGAGTTCAACTCCCAGAGTCACAAAAAACAAAATGAAACAAAAAACCGTAACATGTATGATATTAACTTACACAGAGGGCAGCAGAGATCTTGCTGGAGGCTGGAAGGATGACAAACACTGTTATGTAGTAGGAAAATATGTGGTAGAATTATAGCCTACAGTGACTTTATCTAACAAGCTTGTAGATCTAGGAGAGACAGAATTTTAGCAACATGAATATGGGTTACTATTTGTTGTCATTGACAACAAACTATTAAAATAGCTATTTGTCAGCAGGTGTAAAGCATCAGACTACTGGCCAGGAGCAGCGGTGAACACCTATAATCCCAGCAACTTGGGAGGCTGAGGCAGGAGGATCACAAGTTCAAGAGCACCCTAGGCAACTTGGTGAGACCTTGTCTCAATAAAAGGAGTTTGGGATACAGCTTAATGGTAGAGTTACAGTGTGTTCCAGTACCAAAAAAAAAAAAAAAAAAAAAATCTAGAAAAGGGCAGGTATTAGCACATGAAACTGCCCTAAAATCAGAGATAAAAGGCCAACTACATTTTTTATAGTACTATACTAACAAAATACAAGTCACATAAATCTAGCCAACCTCTTAGGGACTAGTCTACTAGTCCCATACTGACTACCATAGTGTGATAAATAAAACTGATGCCTAAACCACTAGTTTCTCAGGTAGTGGCATTTAAATTTAAGAAACTCAGGGGCTGGGGCTGTAGCTCACTGGTAGAATGCTTGCCTAGCATGCATGAGGCGCTGGGTTTATTCTCAGCACTACATAAAAATAAACAAGTAAAATAAAGGTATTGTGTTCATCCACAACTAGAAAAAGAAAAATACTCGGGAAGAGAAACTGGTTTAACAGAGGACATCATGCTCCATTCTTTTCTTTGGTAAAATTAAATTAATAAAATAATGCATACACCCAGATGGGAGTGTAAATAGGTAGATTACCAAAAGCAGAGTGAATAAATGTATACTTATACATGCGACAGGATGTGGAGGAGTGATGATGGATATAAGAGACCAAAAACAATCACCTGTGAGATGCAGATACCACCTGATCAGAATAAAGCAGTCATTTTCGTAGAGAAGACATTGAAGAACATAGAAGGAAAAAAAGTCTCCTGGACTGGTAATTCTCTTTCCCCCAGAGACTAAAGTTGAGAGGTCTGGAAGAGGGATCTTTTTTTTTTTTTTTTAGAAATAGAGGCTGAGCATGGTGGCACATTCCTATAATCCTAGCAACTTGGGAGACTGAGGCAGGAGGATCAAAAGTTTGAAGCCAGATTCAGTATCTTAGTGAGACACTGCCTCAAAATAAAAAATAAAATGGGCTGAGGATATAGCTCAATAGTATAGTTTTTGCCTAGCACAGGCAAAGCCCTGGGTTCAATCCCCAGCAGCACAAAAAAAGGAAAAAGGGAATGGAAGGGAATGAAAAAGGACTGTGGTTGTCCCTCTGTATCTTTAGGGGTTGGTTCCAGGACTGCCCCTGCCCCATTTAGAGCTTAAGTCTGTTTTATTTAATGGTACAGTATTTGCATATAACCTCTGCACATTCTCCCATGTAATTTAAATCATCTTTTGATGACTTACAATGCCATATACCATGTAGTTATCCTATATTGTTTAGGAATGACAAATCTGTTAAATGTTCAGTACAGACTTTTTGGCAGTAGTAGGGACTGAATCCAGGGGTGTTCTCCCTTGGAGCTACATCTCCAGCCCTTTTTATTTATTTCTGAGACAGGGTCCACATTGCCCAAGCTAACCTCAAACTTGCAATCCTCCTGCCTCAGCTTGCCAAGGAACTAAGATTACAGGAGCTTACCACTGTGCCTGGTTCAGAAGCAATTTTTTAATTAAAAATACTTTCAGGGGCTAAGATGCAGCTTAATGGTAGTTCAATTCCTAGTACTGAAAACAAAACAAAACAAAAATCTTAATCTACACTTGGCTGAATCCATGGATATAGAATTCTATTAGTCTGATATAGTCAACTGTTGAGAGCCACAGCGGAAAGGGGCCCCAGCAAACTTCCAGCTGCCAGCAAACTTCTAGCTGCCAACTGATTGGCTCCTCTGCAGTGATGCTCATTGGGCTGTTTCGCGGCCCTTTCAGACCATGGAGCTGCTCATTGGGGGACTTTTTTGGCTCCGCCCACACGACCCAGCCAATCGGCCTCAAGAGCAGGAGGAGTCCGGGAGGTGGAGAGGCTTGTGGGAAGCAGGTGGTGGCAGTTGGGCTCAGGGTTTTTCCTGAGGAGCTGTGTGGTGTGGTGTGTGTGTTCTAAAAATAAAGTTCATTTCTTTTGACAAGTGGCTCCTGAATTATGCCCAGCCAGACTGCAGTAGTCAACTGTAATAGTCGAAGCATAGGCTCTAATAACTGGTTGTTATATGGGCAGTAAACTGCCCACACCCCCAAATTCAGAAGTTTATGATTAAACAAAAGTGCTTTAAGCATTTTCCTGTTCTGAAGTTTTAAGATGTTAATCCTTAGACTAGGAATTAAAACTCTTCCCTATCACTAATTTCAAGGTCAGAAGTCAAAATAACACAGTGGAAATACTTTTTCAACTTTATTGCATCAAAAAATTCATTTAAACCACATAGTGGCCAAAATGCCCACATTCTAAGCAGGCTTTGTCATCCCACTGCCCTCTTCAGACCAACATACACAAACACATGCACTCTATGTTGGAGAAAGAACTTATAAAAATATAGGACAATGAGAATTAAACAGTGGATATTCTATCATCTCCTTCCTTGTAGCCAATGCACACACCTTAATAGTTACCCAGAAACAGAGGCGCTCTCAGGAAGAAAAAACTGACCACCAAATAAACTGACCTCAAGACATTCATGTCCAAAGAAACCTTTGGCAGATGTTTAGGATGCTGGATTGAAAACACCACCATCTCCCAACAGCTGAAAGTGCAGCACAAGTCCACATCTCAGATGTGTCAAGATCCACACAGTGAAGGACAGCAAAGCATACAGCCGATCCTGGGGAGAAGGGCAAGTTCACTCCATCCCGTAGCCATAGGCAACCCATGCACATCTGTGCATTAAACAGGCTCCCCCCACCCCCCAGGGCAAGGAGCATATCCAAACAGGTCTGTCTGTGCCTAGTAACAGTTCTCTGGAAACACTGGTGGTGTGAGCTTGCCTGCTAGTAAATGGGAAACTTGGCTGGCATTGCTGAGGTCTATGTTCCAAGGTATGGCTGATGCAGAGGATGGTTTTACTGCACCCCTCTGGATTGATGGTCTGGTAGGCCCTTGGGGGACTCTGTGTTGGTTAGTTGACCTCTGGTGTTCCATGTACTCCCTGGCAATGGGCTCTCCACTAAGGCCCCCAAAGTCTCCATCAGTCTAACAAAGACGGACAGTAGGGTCAACACCACACCTAGCAGGTAAAGGATCAACATATTCTTCATGGCTGAAAGTACCCCACTCCTTTGCAGAGCAGTAGTGCTGCCTTCTACTTCTGGATGGTCTCTGGATCCTGAGGAAAGAAAGGAAGGGGTTAATCTTCAGCCTTTGGAGATCTACATGCATCATGCCCCAACACTTCTGTCCTCCCAGGAGTAAATGAGAGGCTTGGCCAGCCAGGGAGTCAGTGGCCAACAGTTTTCCCACAACAAAATCTCCAAGTACATAAATTTGCACTGCAAACTCCACTACTGTAGAGCCTCACTTGCTTCTCTAATTGAAGAGTACTACTTAAAACTTCTACTTCTCTTTAAGACTGTTCTTGGCAGGTACAATGCACAGACCCTATGCTACAGTGCAGCTACCTGTAGCAGAGGTAGAGCCTTCTTGCAGGGGAAAGGGGGAAATATAAGAACATACCCTAGACAAGGCAACTTACCAAGAAGTCTCTCCCATTTTACTGTTAGATTCCAGTTAATCATAAATTTTTTGAAAGTTAAAATAACCTTAAGAGTCAAATCTATCAGTTCATTTACTCAAGAAATATACCCTGAATACTTAAGAGTGTAAGGCACCCCAGAAGGTACTAGGGCCACAAGATAACCCCACAGATTCAAACCATGCCCTCACTGGACAGTTAGTTACGACACAACAAGCTACACGCTGGGATAGGAAAAATATGCTGAGGGTGCTTTTGGGGGGCGTGACAGGGACGCCTAATCCAAACACCAGCAAGCAAGGGGTGGGCTACCGGAATCCCAGTCCATTTTAGAGGAAAACGGGTTGGGGCGGCTGACCGGTAGAGACAAGAAGCCAAAGCTCCTGGCGGCCCAGCCCCAGTCCACTAGGCGGCCAGCCCAGCACGCAGCTCGGAGGATGGGGGCGGGGAGCCGGGAAAGCCACTCACCTCGAGGGGGAAGGCCGGGAGTGGCCCGCAAACGGTCACAGCAGGTCGCACAGGAATCGGAAGGCAAGTCCTTCGACCGGCAGCAGCTCCAGCGTCCCACGGACCGCGCGATACCAACAGTCAGCCTGCCCGGCCCCGCCTCTTATATCCGCAGCCCCGCCCCCCGAGAGGCTGACGCACGCGCGATGGCGTCCGCACGCTCAGGCCTGCACGCACGTCCGCCCGCGGCCCCGCCCCCGCGCGAAGCGGTCTGGTGTTGGAGGCTGCCTGGGTGGTTAAGGGCAGACGTGTTCTTAAAAGTGTGTGGCGAATGGTTCCAAATAATTGCCGCCCGGGTGGGACTTGTCGAGTGCATTACTTCCGCCTGCCTTCGCCTGTCCTAAACTTCGGAAGGAGTCAGAAGACACATTAATGCATGCCACCTCCCGCGGAAAGCACACCTCAGATGACCCCTGAAGGCTCCGCCGTGGCGGAGGGGTTCTTGGGGTTTTTTTGTTTGTTTTGTTGGTTGGTTGGGTTTTTTTTAGTTGTAGATGGACACATACCTTTATTTTGTTTATTTAGTTATTTTTGTGTTTGGTGCAGGGGATTGAACCCAGTGCCTCACACTTGCTAGGCAATGTGAGGATGGCCTTAGGCCAGACCCTAAGCTACTCCATTTTAAAAACTTCAGTTTGAAACCTGCTGTCTCATGAGGCAACCTAATGGAGCCCTCCAGTATGGCCCCCCAGGCACAAACAAGTCACTTCCACCCACCCTGATAAACTCAAAGCTGAAGCTTTGGTAGCTGATAAGGATTGAAAAAGGAGGGGCGTTCAAAAGCCCCCAAATTTAGTATAAATAATAGAGCAAATGACAGATATCAGCCAGCCAATACAGATGCACCCAAGCTGGAGAGCCTGATGATGAGGACCTGGACTGACATCCCATCACTTGTCTTTGTTTGCCTGATTCTCTGTGTGATCCTCACTGCTCTCAAACTCTATAGCCGCATCTTGACCCTGGTGAGAACCACAACTTTTCCCTATGACCCTCTCCTCAGCCATCAGCTCCATCCCAGGAGAAGCCTGCCTTGCTTGGTTCCTGAGCTGATCACCTCCATCTGAGTGAGTGTGCATCTGCTGGACTTAAAGCCTAAGCCCTAAGACTTTTTTTTTTTTTTTTTTTTTTTAGCCCTAAGACTTTTGATCTGACGATTGTACTTAGCACACAGAGGAAATGTCTGTCATTAGCCTGTCATGATTAAGTGTGTTTGCAGTGCTTAGAATTAATCTAGAATTGTTTGCTGTGATTTGATTATATCTGTTGCAGTGCCTAGCATTAAGGATTGTCCTTTTCTTGACTAAGAACCTATAGAGTTAAATTGTATTGAGTGATTTGAGTGAATAAAGTATTGAAAAGGGCAGAAGCGCGTGGACATTCTGTATTTCTCCCCCTGGACTGCATAAGTCGCACCTTTTGCCCATCACAACAGCCAACCACTCTACCACAGAGCCACAACCCCAGACGGTAGAGGGAGTTAACCAGAGACTTCCCCAAAGGAGGACTTGTCAGAGGGCGTCGTACCCCAATTCCACCCCTCCATTTCAGGGACTGAAGAGCGGCTTTTGTTTGAATTCTTAGAAGAACCAATTGAGATTCCGTCCTCCACCCTCCATTCCAGATCCTGAGATGAATTTACCATGGATCTCTCTGGAATGGTGGCAGCCCTTTTGTATCATGTTAACTCACTTTTCATGAAAGTTTGTCATGTTGCTTAAGAGACTGGAGGTACTCCTGGCCCTGGTGTGGTATGGGCAAAACACTTTGTCGTCAGTGGCCTCAGTCTTATCTATTGTGGGGGCACTGGCTGCTGAGTGATTTTTTTCCATCGGTATTTTTCCAAACCTTTTTTATGGACACAATAGCTTTATTTAATTAATTTATTTATTTTTATGTGGCACTGAGGCTCACATGTGCTGGGCAAATGCTGTACCACTGAGCCACAGCCACAGCCCTAGCCCTCACCGGTATTTTTAATTTTTGATACAGGGTCTCACCAAATTGCCCAGGTTGCCATCAAATGTAAACCATCAGCGGATTAGCTGGAATTACAGGTGTGAGCCATGCTCTCGCCCCCTATATAATTGCTAAGGATACTTTTAACTTGATCTGAAGAGCTAAGGAGGTTGCAATTCAGTTTTATGCCCAGATTTGAGGACAGGGCTGCCTTACTAGGTTCCATCTGTCACCCCAACCAAAACAATACGATGTTCTGTTGTGAGAGAGCCAGAGAATATCTCAGAAAAAAAGAGTCCTGGGGAGACCATGAGAATGAAGAGGCCACTTGGAATGAACATCCACTCCATGGAAGGGAAGGCTGCGGGTAGCTTCAGGGTCTTTATCCTGGGAAGGAGGAGACAGCAGGGTCAAAGCTCATGGAGCAGGGCTGACTCAAGTAAGGATGCAATGAATTTTTGTGCCCAAACCAAGTGCCCTGGCTGGGCTGAGAGAACCCGGGAACTCCCCCAACTTGGCTAGCTCTGCCCAATAGGCGCTGAACTGATGGGAAGGGAGAAGCCAAATCCCTGCCTCAACCTTTCCCCTACTTTTCATAATGTTTATGGTGTGTGAGGAAGATAGGGTGGGGAGGCTGGAAAAGGAGAAAGTTGGGGATGAAGACGTGCTGACAGACAGGCACTTGTAAACCAACTTCCCTCCTCAACCCACAGCAATTTTGTGGTCCTTCATTATACCAGAATGTCTGTACCCTTTAACCCAGATTTCCACACCAAGCAATTATCCTTGTGGACAATATTCTATGTGTGGAGAATGTAGTAGGGGATAGTCATTGCAGCAACTGTTAGTAATAGCAAAAAACTGGGGGGAAAAAACATCAATAAGGAACTGGTTAAATTTGGCAAGAAAAAAAAAGAAGCAGTTCTGTACATACTGACATCATCTCCACAGTATGTTGATAAGATAAGCATATAATGCAAGTATAGTGTGTGTCAGTTTGTATGAAAACAAACCCACCAATTAGAATGTACACAATGAGATCCTTCTTCATGCCCACTAGGATGGCTATAATAAACACAAACAATAATAAACACAAACTTTTTCTTTCAGAAAAAGAAGTGTTGGTGAGAATATGAAGAAAATGGATGTTTTGCTTGTATGTTGCTATTGGAAGTGTAAAATGGTGTAGCTGCTTTTGAAAACAGCTTGACGGTCCCTCAAAAGGTTAAATAAAGTTTCCATATGATCCAGCAATTCCACTCCTAAGTATATTCAAAATAATTGACATACATTCACACAAAAGCATGTACACAGATGTTCATAGAATCATTCACAATAGCCAAATGAGTGGAAACAACTCAAATGTTGATCAACTTGTGAAAGGATAGTTGAAATGTGAAACAATGAAGTATTATTCAACCATAAAAAATGGCATATTGGGCTGGGGTTGTGGCTTGGTGGTAGAGCACTTGCCGAGCATGCGTGAGGACCTGGATTCAATCCTCAGCACCACATAAAAGTAAATTAATAAAAGATTCACTGACAATTAAAAAACATTTTTAAAAAAAAAAATGGAGTACTGATGCATGTTTCAACATGAATGAACCTTGAAAACATTATACTAACGGAAAGAAATCAGACACAAAAGGGCACATATTGTATGATTTCATTTGAGACATGTCAGAATAAGCAAATTTAGAGACAGAAAATAGGTTAATGGTTGTCAGGGGAATGGGGAATGTTTGCTAATAGATATGGGGTTTATTTTGGGAGTGAGGAAATGTTATGAAATTAGTGGTGATAATTGCACAAGTTGGTGAACATACTTAAAACGTGTGGATGCTTGGCCCAGTGGTGCACATCCAACTCGGGAGACTGAGGTGGGGGATTGAAGGTTTGAGGCCAACCTAGGCAATTTAGCAAGACCCTGTCTCAAAATAAAAAAGATAAAAAGGCCTGGGGATATAGCTCAATGACAAAGCACCCCTTGTTTTAATCCCTATGGAGGGAATTGTACACTGTAAATTAGGTCTGGATAAAGTCATTTTTTTTTTCTTTTTTTGAGGTGCTGGATGTATGGGCTAGGCAAGCACTTTACCACTGAGCTACATCAGCCCAAGTCATTATTGTCTTAAATGAGGGC